AACCCCAAAACCCCAAAACCCCTTAAAGAGAAAGTAAAGAAAATTGAATTAGTATCAAATGCTATATTTCAAAAAAATATTTCTCTACTGATAACTTTTGATCTATCATATTCATAAAATCTTATTAAATTATAATTTCAAGTAAATTGAATACTAATAATAAACGAACAATAAGATCAATTATGATGAATAAAAATGAGGCAAAATCATACCATGATAACTAGATACTATAAATATGTACATCGTAGTGCAACTAAGTTATCAAAGAATATTAAGAATTGAATGATGAATTAAAGCTTAAGTATCAAGTTTCGATTACTTTAATTATGAAAGAATAATCAGAACAATAAGTTAAGGTACCTTAGTGGTCAGAATAATAATTATAAAAACAGAAAAATTCTTTTACTAGTGCACTATCATAGAATGAATCAAATCCATTAAAATATCAAAATGATATTTAGACATTTGCTAGTGATCTTGACTTTTAAAATACAACTAATAAGCATCTAACATGCGGATTAAAATTCAAAAAAGAATTTTATAAAATGTAGGAGATTAGACAGAACATTATATAAAGTACTACGAACTAGTAAAATTTTAAATCCGATTAAGAATCTAGTAGTCAAAATAACTTGCTATTAGAAAGTGATGCTTAAAATAGTGAAGGATAGAAATAGATAAATGAGCAATAATTCCATTTTAAAGCGAATTCTTCTACAACTGAAGATAACTCGTAAATACCCAGTAAAAGGGATCCAAAAATATTTTGGAGCTAAGATAAAACTTTTAAATATTCTAATAAATCCCAAGTTGATTTTGAAATTAAATTTTCTCAAAATTTCAATCATAAGTAAATGGGTTAGAAAAAAGAAAAGGTGTAAGATAATTAAAGGTAATCTGATAGATTGGAGATAGAGTAGAAATTTCATAGTGCTTGTGGGATAACTGAAAATCTTGGAGATAAATAAAATTCAAGCAGAAATTTTAAACTTGCCAAGTAATAAAATAGGGGCAAAAATATAAATTCAAATATAAGATAAAACTTCATGAAATCAGACGAGTAACTGGCAATATTGTAAAATGAATATGCAAAAAATCAGCAGTGGAATTCTGAAATTTTAACAAGAGCATGTAAGAAAACTGGACTATTGAGAGTGTAGGTTTACAAATGGTACTGGGATAGAAAAGAAGAACTGATGAGAATTTAAAAGGAACGATAAGAGCTCTGTGAGAAACACTTTGAAAAATTATTCAAAGTCACAAAAGTTAAAAAACATAAGACTCATTTTGATTAAGGACTATATTCACAATCAAGAGACAATAATTTTAAATGCTGATGATGATGAAAAATTATAAAAACAACAACTCTCGGTTATTCACACTGAATGATCAAATATATGTTTTGAACCACATATATATTTCAACTTTTAACTTTCATTCATTAATATTTTGATTTTTATAATTTCTGATTAAAAAAAAATGAAAATTTATTAACCTTATTTACTGATTAAGGGGTTTTGGGGTTTTGGGGTTTTGGGGG